AAAGCTTTTTTTTTTTTTTTTGGTACCAGGGATCGAACTCAGGACCTTGTACTTGCAAGGCAAGTGGTGGAACCACTGAGCCGAATCCCCAGCCCTAATAAAGCTCCTATTAACAGTCACCAGCTCTTGGGTAGGGGTGGCAGAGAAGGGGACCACAACCTATTTTTAAGGAGCTAGTTCTGTTAGGGGCAAGTGACAGCTTGCACATGTGTGGGCACGCATTTTCCCTTCTATTGGGGGATTGGCTGTAGTGTGCAGGTAGCAGGTATACATTTAACTTTATGAGAAATAAGGAAACTTTTCCAAAGTAGTCACATCTTTTTACCCTCGCACCAGTGTAACTGCATGGCAGTTATTTGTTCAACATCCTCATCAAAACTTGGTGCGCTGTCAATTTTCTTTCTTTTTCTTTTGTTATTTGGAGGAAATACAATATATTGATTTTTTTCCTTTCAAACATTAATGTCTTACATGTTGCATTTAAGAAATATGTGCTAGTTCAAGGTAACTAAAATTTTCTCCTATATTTTCTTACAGAAATTTTATAGTTTAGCTCAGATTTAGGCCTATGACCCATTTTGAATTAATTTTTGTGCATATATATATGGCATACGGGTAGCCAATTATTCCAGAATTCTTGAAATCAGGCAGTGTTAACCTTTCCAATAAGGAAAAAGTTCCAATGACTTTTTCAAAGTTATTATTGCTATTCTTGGTCTTTTGTCCATTCATATAAATTTTAGAATCACTTTATTAATTTCTACAAAAAAACCCACTGGAACTTTGATTGGGATTGCTTTTGGGGGACAATGCTGAATCTTCTGGTTTGTGACCATGGGCACTGTCTTGTTTGAATGTGTTTAGGTTTCCCTCAGAAGTATTTTGTACTTTTCAGGACACAGGTCTTGGGCTTGTATTGTCTAATTTATCTCTTTTTCATATGATTATAAATAGTATTTTTAAATTTTAATTTGATTAGTATAATTTAGATATATATAATGATCACACACATCATATGGCATTTGTACCTGTACATGATGTATCTTGATTCTTTTTTTCCCATTCCCCTCCCTCCCTTCAACCACTCTTTCTCTATTTACAAAAGCCTGATTTCCATTATTTCCTTCTTTTTCTCATTTTTTTTCCTTCTTCCCTCCAACCTTCTTTAGCTCCCTCTTCCTTTTGTACAATTTTTTCCCTATTTCATATTATCTATTATACATTCATGTCCCTTTTTATACTTTGTTTCTCACTCCAGACACAATGGGTTGTTTACACAAGTGTGTCTAATTATTTCACTTAAGGGTATGTAAATAGTATTTTAAATTTAACTTACAGTTGTTATTTGCTACTGTATGGAAATACAATTGTATTCCACTGCCTGGCTAACTTCACTTTTCTTTTTGTAGAAGCCATAGGATTTTCTAGATACTCAAGCACAGCATTTGCAAACAAAGACAGTGTGACTTCTCTTCAAATCTGTGTGCTTTTTCCTTTTTCTTGCTTTACTGCTTTGGCTAGAATTCCCTGCACAATGTTGAGTATGATGGTATGAGCAGACTTCCTTGCCTGGTACCTGAATTTAAGGGAAAAGTATCTCATCTAGTTAGTTCTCACTGATTCCAGGGCTTTTATAGAGTTGAATAGGTTTCCTTATGCTGACGTTACCAACAGTTTAGAGCTTTGTAAAACAAAAATCAGAAGTGCATGCTAGATTTTAACAAATGGCTTTTTTGATCATATGGTTTTTCTGTTTTAGAGCATTCCTATGATAAAGAACACTGGATGATTTTCAACATTAGACCAACTATGATTTTCTGTGATAAATATCAATTAGTTGTGATGTATTTAAAAATACATTTTGGATATGATTTGCTAAATTTTGTAAAAATGTTTTGAATCTATATTCATGAAGAATATTGGTGTATAGTTTTCTTTCATTGAAATGTCTTTGTCTGGTTCTCATATCAGGGTAATGTTGGCCTTATAGAAAGAACTGAAAATATTTCTACCTCTTTAATTTTCTGGAAGTTTTTGTAGAGCTGGAATTCTTTTTCCCTCTCAGTGTCTGTTATAATTAGTCATCAGAAGCCATTTGGACCTGAAGTTTTCTTTGTGGTAAGGGCTTTGACTATACACTCAATTTTTAACAGATACAGCACTATTCAAATAATCATTTCTTCTCCAATGCAGTAAGTTTGTGTCTTTTAAGGAATTTGTCTACTTAATCTATGCTGTTGAGTTTTTAGCTCAAGGGGCACTGCACCTGCCTCACAAGTGCAAGGTCCTGAGTTTGATCCCTGGTATGAAAAAGGATAAAATTGTTTCATTATCCTACTATCGGTAGAATATGTGGTGATATCACTGCTCTTATTTTTTATATTGATCATTTATCTCTTTTTTTTCCTAGTCTAAAGGTTTATCTATTTTATTGATCTTCCCAAAGAGTCAGTATTTGGTTTCCTCTACTATCTTCCTGCTTTGTATTGTATTACTTTATCTTTATTATTAAATTTTTTTCTGCTTACTTCAGGTTTTACTCTATTTTTTCCAGTTTCTGATGGAAGCTGATGAAGTTATTGATTTGGGAACTTTTTAAAAACATTTTTATGCTATACATTTAACTCTAGCCACTGATTTAGCTGTATCCTACACATTTTCTTATGCTGTGCTCTTATTTAGTTCAGAGTACTTTTTTATTTCTTCTTTAACTTACTGTTACAGGAAAATAATATCGGAGATGAAATACGAAATATTCTATCTCCTGATCTGTTAGCTGTATGATACGCCAAGTTCTTGTTCTCTAAAAATCAAACAATGGATTCTAGGAACAAAGGAGGGTTAGAGTAGGAAGATATTTATTGATAGGAAAGCTCCTGAGGTGCAGGAGTGGTCTGGAGTGGGTAGCCAGGGACCCCACTTTCCAGAGGAGTTTTATAGGATAAAACCACAGAGGTACATGGACCACAGCCATGACCAGTAAGGTTACAAGTAGAGTCTCTTGGTAATGGTGGTTCAGGTGGGAAACAAATCACATGACAAGCATGGATGGAATAAACAAAGATTCTCCTAGGAAGTGGCAGGTCCAGAGGTCCTGGTCATCCACCAGGATGGATGATGTCTTGGTAGACTTCGTTAGGCCTTCGTTTGTTTTTAAGGAAGTATGAAGGTCTGGTCATCTTGTCTTTATCCTGAGGCCTGGTTTTCAGTTGATATGCATACATCTGCCACTGTGGTGTGTTTCACCTTTGTCCTGACCCTCTCAAGGGCCTGACTGCCTATAGTATTTCTACCTAACTCAGCCATCAATAGTGTTATGAGCTGCTTAGGAGTTGTTGCTTTTCATTTTCACATTTTTAGTGATTTTTTTTCCCCAAATGTCTTTCTGTTGTTGATTTCTAATTCAATTCCATTCTGATTTAACTATATATTTTAGAATTTGAACACTTTAAACTTATTACAAATCTCATGGCCTCGTTTTGGGAAACATTCTATATGTACTTGAAAAGAATGTGTATTTTACTCTTGTTGAATCGCATAAATAGCAAATAGACTAAGTTGACCAACAGTTTTGTTCAAGTCTTCCATATCTTTTTGTATTCTACCCTTTACTGAAGTCGTCACTCCTAGCTCCGGGTGGGATATTTTCTTTGCTGGATACATCTTTTCCTAGAAGCATCTGCTGCCCTCTCAAGACTCAGAAGAAATCTTTCCTTTCCAACTTCATGCTGAAAAGGGTGAATGTGAACCTTCCTGAGACTTCTATTTAAATCCAAAGAAATATTTGTCAAGTATTACACTTTATTGATTTATGAGAAAAACTATTTGGAAACCTGACTAGTGCTCATGGATAAATAGAGTATGAGCTACCAGCGTGATCTGATTCAATAAGGGATTTTTAAATATAGGAAGAACTCCTAGAGTGCAGAGAGGCAGTAACGGGACTTGATACTCTGTTGGCACAGCAGGCACAATTTTTAAGTTTAACTTCTATTCCCACTCAGAGTGGCTTGAGTTAGGACACTGATGGGGAGGCAGGGAAGTTACATTCCCACACCCAGGCTGCCTGGACCAGAACAACCTCCACAGTCTACCAATATGCAAGGTCACCATCAGTAATAATAGGGTATAACCAGTTATACTGTTTCCTCTTTTTATTAATTGTTGGATTAGATTCTATATATCTAGCCTAGTCTAAGAAGAAGTAGAAAATTGGTATTCCAGAGTTGCTTGAATACAGTTTTGGTTAGGTAGAAGTTATTATTCTGAACTGGCAAACAACAGAGCCTTGGAGTTCTTCATTCTATTTTGCCCAAGTTACTCAAGTAAGCAGATATTTTTGGCATTAATATTATTGAAGTAAAATCTCAGAAACAGATGCCTCTTGGTACCACCACTGAGCCACATGAGTCTACATGAACAGAAGTATTTTGCCTTCTGGGCATCTGGTTTTAGAGTTGAAGAGAAAGACAGAAGAGTCAAAGGATAAAGCTGTATCAAAATATTAGGGAGCCAAATACACTGACAGAGAATGAATACATTAAATACAGAGAGGGAATGCAGCATCTCCCCATTTCAGGCTTCCATATTGTAACGAGGACTCTGAAAACATGCCATTATGTCTAGAGAGAAGAAATTGATGTCTAGAGGGTCATACTCTAG